CCGGGTCTTCTATTCGATTCCATAGGTTGACTTCTCTGTTTTTATGCCAATACCAAGCTGTTTTCAATACTGTAGCTCTCTAATAGAGTTTGAAGTCAGGAATGGTCATGCCTCCAGAAGTTCCTTTATTGTATAAGATTGTTTTGGGTATCCTGGGTTTTGTATTTTTCCATATAAAGTTATTGTTCTCTCCAGGTCCGTGAAGAATTTTGATGGGGATTGCATTGAATCTATAGATTGCTTTTGGTAGAATTGCCATTTTTACTATGTTGATCCTCCCAATCCAAGAGCAAGGGAGATCCTTTCATTTTCTGGTATCCTCTTCAATTTCTTTCTTCAAAGACTTAAAGTTCTTGTCAAATAGGTCTTTCACTTCCTTAGTTAGAGTTACCCCAAGATGTTTTATGTAATTTGTGGCTATTGTGAAAGGTGAAGTTTCTCTGATTTCCCTCCCTGCTTCTTTATCCTTTGTGTATAGGAGGGCATCTGATTTTCTGGAGTTGATCTTGTATCCTGCCACATTACTAAAGGTGTTTATCAGCTGTAGGAGTTCTTTGGTAGAGTTTTTGGGGTCGCTTATGTACACTATCATGTCATCTGCAAATAACGAAAGTTTAACTTCTTCCTTTCCAATTCGAATCCCCTTAATCCCCTTATGTTGTCTTATTGCTATTGCTGGAACTTCAAGCACTATATTGAAGAGGTATGGAGAAAGTGGACAGCCTTGTTGTGTTCCTAGTATTAGTGGAATGGCTTTGAGTTTCTCTCCATTTAATTTGATGTTAGCTGTCGGCTTACTGTAAATAGCTTTTATTATATCTAGTATGATCCTTGTATCCCTAATCTCTCCAACACCTTTATCATAAATGGGTGTTGAATTTTGTCAAATGCTTTTTCAGCAACCAATGAAATGATCATATGGTTTTTTTCTTTCAGTTTATTTATATGATGGGATACATTGATAGATTTGTGTATGTTGAACCAGCCCTGCATCTCTGGAATGAACCCCACCTGATCATAATGGTTAATTTTTCTAATGTGTTCTTTGATTCGGTTTGCCAGTATTTTATTGAGAATTTTTGCATCGATGTTCATGAGTGAGATTGACCTCTAATTCTCTTTCTTGGCTTTGTCTTGTGTGGTTTTGGAATCAGGGTAACTGTAGCTTCTTAAAAAGAATTTGGCAATGACTCTTTTGTTCCTATATTGTGAAATACATTAAGGAGTATAGGTATTAGCTCTTCTTGGAAGTTCTGGTAGAATTCTGCATTGAAACCATCTGGTCCTGGGCTTTTTTTGGTAGGGAGGTTTTTGATAACAGCTTCTAATTCTTCACGACTAACAGGTCTATTTAGATTGTTCACCTGGTGTTGGTTCAACTTTGGTATATGGTACTTATCTAAAAAAGATGTTCATTTCTTGTACATTTTCCAATTTTGTGGCATACAGGCTTTTGTAGTAAGATCTAATGATTCTCTGAATTTCCTCTGTGTCTGTGGTTATGTCCCCCTTTTCATTTCCGATCTTATTAATTTGAGTGTTCTCTCTCTGCCGTTTGATTAGTTTGGATAGGGGTTTGTCAATCTTGTTGATTTTCTGCAAGAACCAGCTTTTTGTTTCATTGATTCTTTGGATTGTTTTCTGTGTTTCTATTTTGTTGATTTCAGCCCTCAGTTTGATTATTTCCAGTCTTCTGCTCCTCCTGGGTGAGCCTGCTTCTTTTTTTTCTAGAGCTTTCAGGTGTGCTGTTAAGTCTCCAATGTGTGCTTTCTCCGTTTTCTTTAATTGGGCACTTAGTGCTATGAACTTTCCTCTTAGCACTGCTTTCATAGTGTCCCATAGGTTTGAGTATGTTGTGTTTTTATTTTCATTAAATTCAAGGAAGACTTTAATTTCTTTCTTTATTTCTTCCTTGATTCAGTAGTTGACTGTTCAGTTTCCATGAGTTTGTAGGCTTTCTGCGGGGTAGCATTGTTGTTGAATTCTAACTTTAATCCATGGTGATCCGACAAGACACAGGTGGTTACTAATAATTTTTTGTATCTGTGGAAGTTTGCTTTGTTACCGAGTATGTGGTCAATTTTCGAGAAGGTTCCATGAGCTGCAGAGAAGAAGGTATATTCTTTCCTATTTGGGAGGAATGTTCTATAGATGCCTGTTAAGTCCATTTGATTCATTACCTCTATTAATTCTCTTATTTCTGTGTTAGATTTCTGTCTGATTGACCTGTCCATTGGTGAGAGAGGTGTGTTGAAATCTTCTACTATTAGTGTGTGTGGTTTGATGACTGCCTTGAGTTCTAGAAATGTTTCTTTTACATAATTGGCTGCTTTTATATTAGGGGCATAGATATTCAGGATTGAGACTTCCTCCTGATGAATTGTTCCTGTTATGAGTATGAAATGTCCATCTCCATCTCTTCTGATTGATTTTGGTTTGAAGTCGATTTTGTTAGAAATTAGAATGGCCACACCCACTTGTTTCTTAGTTCCGTTTGCTTGAAAAACCTTTTCCCAACCCTTTACTCTGAGTAGATGTCTTACTGTTTTTGGAAGTTTGCATTTTTGTTTGTTTTTTTATTTTTGGTCACCTTTCCCATGTACTAATACTAGCTCCCTAAGATCGAAATGAGATTTCCCCCCCATCCATAACAGAATGTTCTAGTATGTCATAAGACTATTAATCACTATTTTTCAGAGGTTCTTGACTCTTCTTTTTTTAATTTTTTAAAATTTTTATTGAGCTCTACATTTTTCTTTGCTCCCCTCCCTGCCTCTCCTCTCTCCTTTAACCCTCCCCCAAGGTCCCCATGCTCCCAATTTACTCAGGAGATCTTGTCTTTTTCTTCTTTCCATGTAGATTAGATCTATGTATGTCTCTCTTAGTGTCCTCATTGTTGTCTAAGTTCTCTGGGATTGTGATTTGTGAACTTTTCTTTTTTTTTTGCTTTATGTTTAAAAACCACTTATGAGTTATACTTGACTTTCTGTGTCTGGGTTATCTCACTCAAAATGATGTTTTCTAGCTTCATTCATTTCCTGTAAAATTCAAGATGTCATTACTTTTTTCTGTTGTATAGTACTCCATTATGTAAATGTACCACATTTTCCTTATTCATTCTTCGGTCAAGGGGCATTTTAGATTGTTTTCAGGTTCAAACAATGCTGCTATGAACATAGTGGAGCACATGTCCTTGTGGCATGATTGAGCATCCTTTGGATATATACCCAAAAGTTGTATTACTGGGTCTTGAGAAAGGTTGTTTCCTAATTTTCTGAGAAATCACCACACGGACATTCAAAGGGGCTGCACCAGCTTGCATTCCCACCAGCAATGCAGAAGTGTTCCCTTTTCCCCACATTCTATCCAGCATAAGTTGTCATCAGTGTTTGTGATCTTGGCCATTCTTACAGGTATTAAATGGAATCTCAGAGTTGTTTTGATTTGCATTCCTCTGATGACTAAGGATGTTGAATATTTCCTTAAGTGTCTTTCAGCCATTTTAGATTCCTCTGTTGAGGTTTGTACTCCATTCTTTATTTTAATTTAAAAATAGTCTTTTTTTTTGTAAGTGAATTTAAATGCACTTTATTTTTAGACAACCTACATGACATGTTTTTTCTTTAAAGAAAAAAAAAAGGAAAAAAGAAAAGAAAAAAAAAACAACAATGTCTCCACTCCAGATAAATCATGGTCAAAATGAGAGCTCAAGGTGACATCAGTCCCATTTGTCCTAAGTCCTGGTGTTGTATAGATGGGAAGCAGCAGCCGGTTATTGTTATCCAATTTGTTAACATTTCTCCATCTCTAAGCCATCCTTGAAGAAAATCACGTGTGGAGTCACGCCATCTTCACGGTAGTCCGGGAGAGCAACCATGCCATTGGATTCATGTTCTCACCAATAAAAAACTGGTAGTTATTGAAATTAGCAAGGATATGCTTAATTTGCTCTGCAGCCCCAGTCATAAAAGGCTTTACTCTTTCTGGTTTCTGTTTTTCAAGTTTGCCTTTGAGTGATTTCATGTAATCTTTGATGTACTTTTTGTAGGCCTCTTTTGTGAAGCTGGTTTCTTGTAAGAAGTGGTGGTTCATGACAATGTCAACACCAGTGACTACCGTGCTTTTGGTACCTTCGCCCTCTGGGCCTTCAGCGGAAGCATTCCCACCAATGAGCGAGTCATCGTTGTTACCCTCTGTTCTACTGACCATCTTGCCCTCCACCTCCAGGCACAGATGGTCCGCGATCTCCCGGATCTTGTAGACGTCGGAGAACAGCTCGTCATGGCTGATGATGTCCCGGTAGATGATTATGGTGGCGCTGGGGACCGCGCCGCTAAACTGACAGCGCGAGAGAGCGCGGTGCAGCCGGAGACGCGCTGGGGGGGGGGGGGCGCCGGGAGGAGGGCGGACTAAAAGGAAAAATAGTCTTTAATTCTAGAAAAATATTTGTTTTTCCGAAATATCATATTTAAGAAGCGTTGACTACTTTGTTGAGTTTTTCTACCCAAGAAAAGCATATTGCTATTTAAGTTCATATTTGACCTTTTAAAGTGTGTTTTAAAGTTTCTCCCAAGCAAATGTGGTACATTTCTTGGTCTTGAATATTTCTTTATTGCTGTTTGTGTAGCTGTGGCCTTTTCATTCACTATCATATATATTAAAGCTGATTTTAGTGTTGTTTATATCCTAACTTACTAAGTTATCCTTTTAGTATATTTTTCCAATTGATCATCGTGGCTTTTCAAATTTATGATCATATTACCAGTATATTAAAAAATCACACTTAAGAAGAATCATGGAAAAGGTGATAAAAACCCCATAGACTGGATTTGAGAAGCCCATCAACACCGGGAAGCATAGCTGCGTCGAGACGGGTCGGGGTGAACAACTCATTGAAGCATCACTAATCTCAGAGATACTGAAACACAAACAGGAGTTCTCTACTTCCCTATTGGGTAGACAAGCCCAGCCTGCCCGCGCAGGCGCGGGGGACAAACCACAGAGTAGAACACCACGGCTCGGTAGAGTGGCTTTGGGCGTGCGCGCGCCATCGCGTCTGCTCCGCCGTTCCGGCCTCCCTGGCAGTCTTCGAGGGCTTCCGGTTCCAGCGCGGTCTGTGTTCCCCGTCTCTACTCAGGAGCTCCTAGGTGAGCGAGCTGCTGCTCCCGGCTGGTGGGAGGGCTCGGGTTGGATGACGAGGTGTGGGGGAAGGCCTTCCTGGCACGGTGTGGCTGCCTATGCGGACGCCTGGGGCGCAGAACCGGCTGGGACCTAGGAACGCAGCGGAACTTAGATTTACAATCACAGAACTGGAGGGGCAGAAGAAAGGCAGAGTACCCTCCAACCTTTAACCTTTATGAATGATCACATCCCGGCAAAAGCCAATTTGTACATATACAGTTCTGTGTATATGATTTTGTTCCACTAGGCATCAGGTATACTGAACAGTTTCAAAAGCAGCGAGTCATGGGTACCCTAGTTGTCTGCTCTTTCACTCGTTCAGTTATTTTTGTGGTACTGGTATTGAACCTCGCTGATGGTAGGCAGCACTTGCCCTTCCCCAACGCTGTCTACTCATTCTAAAGGTCTTATTTCACATCGTTGTGTTTAACTTTAATAGTAAGTGGAGATTGTTATACCCAGATCCGCGGAGTCCCCCAGAAACCAACAAAGAGACCGAGTCCCGTATGTAAAAACAAAGACCCTTTATTCTTACACAAAGGCCGTGCGCCCAACGTATTGGCGCAATCGGAGAGCCCTGAGCACAGTTAGGGTGCGGTTTTTATATAATAGCAGAGGGATTTTTAAGGTTCAGGATCCCCGATTGACTGACATTTGTCTAGGGGTGTACTGGTGAAAAGCGATGGGAGTGTGCTGGCAGGTGATCCTATCTTCAATGGTTGTTGGAACATTAGGAATTTTCTTTGGATAGTCTGTTTCTGAGTGGAGCACGGGTGGTCTCAATTTGTAGTCGTTCTTGGAACCAGGTATTGTCATAGGGTAAACTGAGACTCAAGCCTATCTTCCTGTTGGTCGACAGGGCCAGTCTTGGCCGGTACACACCGGCCCAAGCTTCCCTGGGTCCTACAGAGATAAGTTTATTATTAAACCTTCCTCCCCGAAGTCCTGAAACAACTTGGCATCTTTTTCACTTTTGTCTATTTTTGTGAAAGTACATGCACTACTGCTTCCGCCGAATACAGTAAATTAACTGGAGGGCAGGCTTTCAACTATCACGCTTAAACTCTTAAAATATGCAATATTTGCTTATGATAGTTTGTGTTAATAATGATGGCTTATTCCTTAGGTCCCCTCCGTAAGGACATTTACAAGGGAGTTATTGAAGTCCTGGTAAATCTTTTGTATAGCTATGATGGCTTCTACTGGTGATACCGAGATCTGTAAGAACCAGGATGTAGTTTTGGAAATAAAGATGGAGGAAGAGTGTAAGTATACCACCAGACAGGATTGGAGCCTGCAAAAGAACACTTATAACAGAGAAGTCTTCCGAAAGTTCTTCAGACAGTTTAGCTACCAGGAAACGTCTGGACCCCGGGAGGCTTTGGACCGACTCCGGGAGCTCTGCCGTCAGTGGCTGAGACCTGATACTCACACCAAAGAGCAGATCCTGGAGCTGCTGGTGCTGGAGCAGTTCCTGACCATCCTGCCAGAGGAGCTGCAGGCCTGGGTGCAGGAGCAGAACCCCGAAAGTGCGGAGGAGGTGGTGACTGTGCTGGAGGATTTAGAGAGAGAGCTTGATGAACTAGGATACCGGGTAAGAAAAAAAAATGTGGTTTCTGTTTCCTAAAATTAATTGTGGATTTGTAGGCCATAGTGAATTATATACCATTATTTCACAAGCACATTGCCACTCAGATGGATACAAAAGGGACCGTAGTTTCATGGGAATTTGGGGTCAAATTTGTATGTTACAAGCCTTGAGCTTGTAATCCTCACATCTCACCTCCTTACAGGTGCGCACCACCACTCCTATCTGGTCTTAGCTTATCTATACCTTTTCATCAGAGGGATTGTATACATCTGTGCTAAGCTACAAAATCCTATCTGATGAATATGCTGCTTGGTTCGGAAACGAGATTTATACTGCAGAGAGAAGCTATCAGACGGTAATAGATGGAGAGGGTATTAGAGAGATGGTGGGACTAAGGTGGAGAGCAGCCTTTTGTAAAGGGTATTATGTAATGTAAAACAAGTAATTAAGCAATACGGTTTTGAGCTGGGCAGGAGCACATGCTTGTCAACTAGCACTCAGAAGGGGATGGAAGCAGATGTATTGAGAGTTCGAGACCAATTTGGGCTACATAGCAAGACCCTGTCTCAAAAATACGAAGAACTGGGGGTGTAACTCAGTGCTAGAGGACTTGCTTAGTATGTACAAGGCCTGTGCTTCATCCCCAGAACTGTGGTAGCTGTGTACATGGTGATAGGGCTGTTAATATTCCTTAGCCAAAACACTGGGGAGGATACTAGCTGTTAATCCCGCTCCCCCCATACCCGCCAAGCTGTTAGTGGACAGCAGGACTCCAGTGCTGCAAATGTGATGAACTCCTCACCAGTGCTAGGGTGGGACTTGTCACCCTGATCTCGGTAAGAAACTCCTCCCCTGGACTGTAAGCAAGCTCAAGGAACTCATTGATTGGCCAAGCGAGACTTAGATGGGATCTTTATTTGGTCTGTTATCAGTGCCCTATCTGGAGCGAATGGAAGCTGGCTCACATCTCCCCAGGAAATGTCATATATCATATAGCCACTGTCCTGATTCCGCAATAAACAGTTAAAAGATGGAAAAAAAATCAAAATCATTATCCTGGATGAATGACATATGGGAGGAGCGTGGAAAGTTAGATGGGAGGGCCAGGGCGGGCAGGAAACGTTTGCAGAGAATGGAGAGTTAGATGGGAGGGCCATGCGGGCAGGACACGTTTGCGGTATAGAAAGCCCATCTGTGTGGGAAAGGTGAAGTTTGTGTAGAAAACTTGAGATACAGAGTTCATGACATTCAACATCTTGGCTTAAATTTTCTTCTAGTACAAAGGCTCTTTTCTCAGCCGTCTAAGTGAGCTATAAAAATTATGTAAAAGAGGCAGAAGAGAGAATCTTGCCTTTTTTATTTTTGTCTTAACTATGACAAGACTGGTTTTCAATCAGTGGTAATTTCTAGCCAAAGAGGACATTTGGCAATTTCTTAGAAAAATTTTGGTTGTTGTAACCTTGGAGGGCAGATATGAGTCTACATATTTTTTGCATACAAACCAGCCTCAGACAGCAATAAATGACCTTATTGAGAGTGTGTCAGAGTAGCTGAACTTAAGAAATCTCAGTATGAAGAGCATGAACCTGTGAAATAAATGAAATGTAACCTGGCATTCGAATATAAAAGAGATTGAAGAGAGAAAAGGAGCTTGTGCCAAAACGTTTAAAACAGGGTCATGAAATTATAGCTACAAAGTACAAGTGTGACTTGGATAAGAATTGAATGGAAATGATTACAGTTAGAATCTATAAAGAAGGCTTGAGGGCCAGACCTTGTGGCTCATGCCTATAGGCCCAGGTCAGTCAGCATAGTGTGAAAGACCTCGATAAATCCAGACCCATCTAGCAGAAAAAAATACAGCCAAAAATTTAAACAGGAAGAGAAGAGCTAAAAATCTAGGTTAGCTGGTTCAGTGACTCTGTTTTAGGAACTAGCTGAAGATAAAGTCAGATTATAATCTTGAGAATAATTTTGAGAAACAGGGAGTTACCCCTTGTGATTATCACTGGTATTTTCAGAATTTTTCAGTGATCACTGGTATTTTCAGAATTTTCCAATGACACCCTGCCTACCCCCTTTCGATTACTAGGTTGTGTTTTTTTTTTTCCTTTAAATACTCCTTCTCCCAGCTACTTGGGGTCGAACTCTACCCCTGCGTGGGAAATGAGTTTCGGCCCCAGTGCACTGACTCCTGTCCTGTCAATAAACCTCATGTGATTGCAGCAAGGATGGTCTCTCGTGAGTTCCTGGGGGGTCGTGTTATCCCGAGACTTGAGTGAGAGTCTCCCTGCTCCTGAGATCTTTCAAGTGTTTACCTTGTAAGCACAACAGTAGGCGTTTGATCCCCAGAATCTACATAGAAACTGCTGGCCATGGTGGCACACATCTTCAGTTCAGTGCTAGGAAGGCAGAAAAGGGCAGTTCCCTAGGCTCATTGGCCAATCAACCTATCCTACTTGCATTTCAGGCCGGTAACAGACCTGTCAGGGACCAGTCTAGACAAAAATACCTCTTGCCAGGGTAGAGGCGTTGTTTATTTAGAAATATAGTAAAGAATATGAAGACACAAATGAAAATAATAAAGCAGAGAAACATATAGGATAGTATCGGGAGGGAGCTCCATTTAGTACTGAAATTACCAATTGCTTTAAATACCCCTGGCCCCAAAAGGTAGGAGTAAGACAAAAAACTACATTAATGTGACGCAAGGAAATGAACATACCAATTGAAGGTCGCAGGCTACAATCATAGTTAAATATTCTGTTGCTAGAACAAAACAAGTCACACTCACACCCTAGACCAAAACATTCTGTAGGCAAACCACTCCCTGGGTGGAATCCAAAGTTATCTCAAGGGAACTGGACCCTTAGTCCTATCCTCAGACTTTTGTTTGAGGTAGAAATCTTCTTCTCTCTTCCTGAAGTACAAGAGCTGGCTGTTAGCCACACCTGTTGACAATAATCTTGAGCGATCAGAACTCTCTGAGCTACTTCTAGGCGGGACCTTTGTTGGAGGTGGAAACACAATAACCTTGAAGGAACTAGTGGTAAGTTCCTACTCTGGCCTTTGGTCATTGTGGAAATAGACTCACATTTTTGGGCCTCCATACAGACCTTGTATGAAAAAATAAGCAGATAAGTTCCAGAGGAATCAAGCCAGTGTAGTCCTCTTGGTGAGTTGTCAGTCAGTGAGAGACACTATCTTTAAAAAAAAAAAAAAAAGTGTTAGCACCTGAGCTGTCTGATACACGCACATACACACACACACACACAGAAGGAAGGGAAGTTAATCTCAGTAGTCAGGTAGAAGAGGCAAGAAGGTAAGGCAACCAAAGGTAGCCTAGGCTGCATTCTGATGGGAGGTTCTTTGTCAATGGAGATGTCCTTACTGAGGAATCTGTTGTAGGCTCTGCACTCAGGGCTTAAAGCTTGTAAGAGAACTGTGATAAAGACACTTCTGGCAGAATTGAAGACTGTAGGTGGCCATTCTGCAGTAATGAAATGCCAGTTTTCCGTCACACACCATCAAAGACCCTTGGGTGCAGCAGTGAATGTCATATGCAAGTTGCTGTTCTTATGCAGATTCTAGTCTCCGAGAAGAGATAGAGGGAAAAAGATTCCAGAGATGTAAAAGGTGTCGGGTGTTGATAAATCTACTGAAAACAATAGAGAAAAAGAATAATGAAGGAATTGAGGGCTGTACCATTCAATAAACAGGCCACAGAGCTTTCAACAGAGAAAGCCTTAAGTGTTGTAGTATGCTAGAGTGGAGGTGAATTATTTGAGAAGATGAAAGAATTGAGAAATTATATCATGTAGAGCCTTGCAGACCATTATAAAGAATTTAGATTTTGGTAGATGGAAAGTCAGTTCCTAGCTTGAGCAGAAAAGAAATATAAACTAATTTTTAAAATTTAATATAAATTTTAAAATAAGCACTCTGTATTTTAAATACAAAAAAAATTCTAATATAAGCACTCAGTATATTCTACAGTGATGGTCGGAAGAAGTCATCTTAGGAAGTTGTACCGATTAACTAGAAGGACAGACAGCTGGAAGTCACGTGATTGGGATACGGGGAACCCCAAATCCCAATCCTCTGAACAGCAGCAAATGTTCTCAACTACCAAGCCTTTTCTCCAGCCACTTCTACCTAAATTCTTCTTTCCTCCTCTCTACCTTCTTTTTATCTCTTTTTACCTCTTTCCTGACTCTATTTCTTGAGCTTTAGACAATTAACAAAATGTAGAAAATTAACAAAATGTAGCTGTAGTGGGGAAGGGAAGGTTCCCTGGAGAGGGTGACATTTTAAAATGATCTTAAAAATGAGTGTGATTGAGGCAGGCTGGTGGCTGTGGAAAAGTCCTTTCGGGCTTGAGCAGGCCAGGTGCCAGTGCTATGAACACTCACTTTTGTTTGCTGTTATTAGAGGACATCTCTCTTCTCCCTCAGGCCTCAGTGCAAACTGCAGAACAGAAAGTGTTTTTGCAGGAAATGAAGACTTTAGGAGCAGAGCCAGAACCCAGTGCATCCCATCCACCTGTGAAAGCCAGGCTGAAGTGTGAACCTGCAGAATATGAAGCCCCAGAGGAGCAAGGTAAAGGAAAAAGGTGCAGACGGGAAAGCAGAGCTAAGAGGGGCCTGAGGGCTGGTTTGTACTTCCCACCGTTCTTCTCAGTAAAGTCAGGAGGGCCTGTCCAGAAGTCTGGTGCTCGTGTGTTGACTTCCAGATGTCATGGTTTGTCACTTTACTTTTCCTTCCCTCCCCCCATCTTCCTTTAAACCCAGAACCTCATGCGTGCCCGGCAAGCACTGGAGCTCTCGAAGGCGCATCCACAGCCCCCTTTTTTCTTGGCTTTATTTTATTTTGCTTTACTTAATTTCATTCTTCTGATAGTTGTAATCCTTTTCTGACCTCTGCTATTTGTAGACTTTGACCTATTAAACAGTATTTTTGTCTTCTACTTAGATTGTATCCTTAGTCCTTTTAGTAATTGAGTTTTGCTCCAGGCTGTCTGCAGCTATCAAGTAGTGTGAGAGAAGAAGAAGTATTTATCTGTGAGTGAAGGAACAATAAGGAGAACATGCCAGAAATATTAGAGAAGGCGAATGGATGGGGACTTGCTGCCTTCCTCATCCTTGCTTCCTCTGGTTTTTATGGTTTTAAAAGAAAGCTTTATAAAAATTATTCAATGAAAAAAAAAGTCTGTGCCATTAATTCATCTAGTTTCCTCCCCCAACTGAAGTAAATCATCACTGTTTTTGTTTTCTTATGTGCCCTTCTAGAGACTTTTTATATTAAACATTTTCTTCTCCTTTACATTACAATGGTAGACTCTTGTGTTTTTTATTTCTTAACAGCCGCTTAGTATTAAAACGTATAGACAAACCATGAAGCAGATTAGCTAGATGCTAATTTGTCTTTGGTGTTTTGTTAGAACAAATAGTTCTATAACAGATAACATAGCTTAGTTTTCTCTTGTAGTACTCCGTGTCAGAAGTTATAAAGGTAGATGTGACATTGCTCTGCCTAACACTCTGAATGAGCTCAGAGCAGCAATGTGTGCCCATTTTGTGAGTACAGTGCACTGCCACACTAGATAAATTCAGTGAGTGGAAATTACACCTCGGGCTGATGCGGTGGCTCCGAAGTCCTTGCTATGCAAAGCTGACCCCTGAGTTTATCCCCAGACTCCATAGGAGGCGAGAACTAACTTCCAAAAGTTGTCTTTTGACCTCCACACATGTGCCATGGCATGTGCACACTCACACATAAAATAATAAAAGGTTTTCAAAAATTTTATCTGTGCTATATAACTAACTCATCTTTGCCTGACTCTGGAGCAGTTTCTCTCCCTGTGGTAAGGGCTGTGTGTTTCCTGTTTTAGAAACTGTTGTTTCCCTTTGCCTAGTTTTCTGTTGAGTTATCTCCTTACTTGTTTGTGGAGTGCTTTTTCACTTTAATCATCTTCTATCCTAATGCAGTTTTACAGTTTGTAGTAGAAACTCTGAGGTCTTGTGTGACTTTTATTTGAATAATTTTCTCTTGCTGGTTTCATGAGCTACCGTTTCCTGCCCCTGGAGAATGGGTAACACGCAGGCTCCTCTTTGCAGTTGCAGGTGTTGAGACTGGAAATGAGTCCAGGAATATAACTCTAAAGCAAGACCTTGGTGAAGGAATGGAAGCCAAACAGAATACCTCCAGTGGATTAGCAAAGGATGCACTTCAGTGTGAGGAAACCCGTGACCCTGGAGAAGAACCTTCTAGTGCTTCCAGTGAGGACAACCGGCCTTCGCCTGCTGAAAATGGGACAGACTTGCCTGAGAACTTAGACCATGTTAAAGACCAGAACGTCTGTCCAGGGCGGAAACTGTATGGATGTGAGGACTGTGGGAAAACTTATAGTCAGCACTCACGCCTCCTCGAACATAAAAGCGTCCACACTGGAGACAAGCCCTACAGATGTGAAGTATGCGGGAAAACCTTCCGGTGGAAGACTGTGCTTATTCGACACAAGGTGGTGCACACCGGAGAGAAACCTTACAAGTGTAATGAATGTGGCAGGGCCTTTGGCCAGTGGTCAGTTCTTAACCAACATCAGCGGCTTCACTCGGGAGAAAAGCACTACCACTGCAATGAGTGTGGCAAAGCCTTTTGCCAGAAAGCAGGCCTCTTTCACCATCTCAAGAGCCACAAAAGGAACAAACCTTTCCAGTGTCTAAAGTGTAGTAAAAGTTTCAATCGCCGGTCCACACTCACTCAGCACCAAGGAGTTCACACTGGTGCGAAGCCCTATGAGTGCAACGAATGTGGCAGGGCTTTTGTGTATAACTCCTCTCTTGTTAGCCATCAGGAAACGCACCACAAGGAGAAAGCCCTCGCTCAAAGGGGTCCTTCTCGGCGGCAGAGAAGCCGCACCAGGGAGAAGCCCTACACATGTGATGTCTGTGGGAAAGCCTTTGTTCAAAAATCAAGTCTTACAGAACATGAGCAAATTCATGCTGGAGAGAGACCCTATTAATGTGCTGAGTGTGGGAAGGCCTTTATTCGAAGGGCAGTCCTCAGGAAACATCTGGGAATCCACAGTGGGAGGCTCCACAAGTGTGCGGAGTGTGAGAATGCCTTCCCAGGAAGCACCGGCTTCATTCAACATCAGGGAATTGACAGTGGGGAGAGGCTCCACAAGTGTGCTGAGTATGGCAAGACCTTCTGACAGAGGTCAGACCTTAGTAAGCCCCAGAGAATTCATGGCAGAAGTGGTCCCTCTGAGTGTAACAAGTGTGGGGCATTGTCCAGGCCGAGCTCAGCTCCTGCCCATCAGACTGCTCACAAAGGAGCCGGAACTCTTTCTGTGAGGTGACTGCAGGGCAGCCGTCTCCCAGCTTGCGGGACGCAGGGCAGCCATCTCCCAGCGTGCGGGACGCAGGGCAGCCATCTCCCAGCGTGCGGGACGCAGGGCAGCCATCTCCCAGCGTGCGGGATGCAGGGCAGCCATCTCCCAGCGTGCGGGACGATGAGGAAGACTGTATTTGTACTGCTTTGTGGCCGCACTTCAGCCCTTGGTACTGTAAGAAGACCATAAATACTTGATGGCACCCACTGTTCATTGTATTGATGAAGGAAAGAAGTCTTATCACCAGATTCCTTAGAGCCCAGCCCGGGATGTGAAAATCTGCCATAGTTAGTTAAAAAGAAGGGCAGTGGATTGATGTTCAGTGTGTTTTAGAATTAAAATAGGAGAAATTCAAATTCCTCAGAACAGATTATTTGTACACCTGGTCAGGGAAGAGTTCCTGAAAGATACTGAAAATAAGAGTATGATGGATTGACTTGGTAGGCAGAAGGGAGAAACACATGTAGGTAAAACAGGTGAGCAGAAGCAAGAATCTGGGTGGTTCAGAAGCATCAGTGATGAGACTAGCCATCCTCCTAGAGAGCTGATTTTAAGTGTTTAACTGATGGGTATTAGTTGGAAATAGCTTGGGGATAGAGTAGGGGAGTTCCAATGCTAGGAATGCTAGCCAACACTTGGCAATGCTTTGACACAGAACACTCTTTTCATTGTTAAAATAGCTCTAAGTACAAGTTCATTTTAGAAATGATGTGGTTGTACATGCTTGTCTATCTCAGCACTTCTGATGCTGAGACAGGAGGATTAGGAGTTCCGTGATATCTTTGGTTTCTTAGGGAATTCAAGGCCAGACTTCAAGAAAAAGAAAAGAGGATACCAGGGGCTGGAAAGGCAGCTCAGCAGTTATGAGCACTTGTTGCTCTTGCAGAAGATTCGGATTTGGTTCCCGTCACCCACATGGTGGCTTGAAACCACCCATAACTCCAGTTTCAGGGCATCTGGTGCCCTCTTCTGATCTCTGTGGAGCACAAGGCACACAGCTGGTGCACATGCATACATGCAAAACACTCCTACATATAGAAACCTACTTCTTGGGACTGGCTTCTCAGCCTGTCTCTTATGCCTGTGAAACTCTGACGTGGTTGGACATCAGCATCACCTGGACGTCAAGTATTATTTTAAATGCCTATGTGCACTGAATGAGACCCTGGGTTCAATCCCCAAAGCTTTGAAGGAGATCAGACCCAAAATAGAGTGGAATGGGGCTAGGTAGAGCCAGATTGGCAACCCAGACTAAGGGTCAAAAGGAGGACAGCGGGGAAGTGTGTGATGGGTGCCCCAGTTGGTGACACAGTGAGCAGAGAGGGCTGTGTGATGGCCCCGAGGACATCTTTTTGTAGTTATGTAGCCCAGGGTGGTCTCTGGTTTTTGATAGCCCTCCTACCTCCGCCTTCTAAGTGCTAGGATTACAGCTCTGAGCTATGAACCTGATTTCCTTTGCATCTTAATGTATATTTTGAAATGCACAGTTGGAAGATGGGAGGAATGGAAGAACAAAGTGGGTTCAAGGAGGAAGTAATGCAGTCAGTGATTCAACAGTCAAGTAGAAGTAGCTGCTCAGGTTGTCTGACTTCTTGATTTATAATGAATTCACTTTGAGACATTTCATGGTGAAACAAAGCACAAGTGGTTGGGCAGAGCCGAGTCTCTGGAGCCCTGGAAAGACATAATCGTAAACACAGGCTGAGTTTGGATTCCATTTGCTCAAAGTCACACGGTGCAGGCTTGAACACAAGCAGCTGCGTTCCAGATCATATACTTTTAAGTTCTTACACATGGTGCTTATTTTAGTTGGACAGACCATGCATAGCAGTGGTATTCAGGACCCTGCATAATTTTCTATAGAAAATTTCAGCTCCTTTCAGCTTAAGTAGGAAAACCCAGACCCTCATCCGAACACCTCAGTATTTTGGTATAATTGTCTCTCCATAGTAAATCTTGTGTGATTTGGCCAGTGTCCCATAAACGTCAGCCCCAGTGGTAATCAGGACAGGGAAGATTTGCAGAAGACTGTCTACCTCAAAAGTGAGCCCTCATTTAAGGATCAGCTTTCATCCTAAAACCGTAATTCAGACTCTGCCTTCCTATCGAGAGATGGGATATCTGACTTTCTTCTCAGTACAAGTCATATTTAGAGAGATAGCTCAAATGGCATTGACTCAGCATGTCTGTTGTTAATTAGGATTCTTACACTGTAGCCCTGGCTGGGAAGGGAGCCTGGCGGCATAACTGTCACCCAGCACTCAGGAGACTGAGGCATGAGGATCATTAAACTCAGTAGTGTGGGACTAGTCTGGACAACAGGTTCTGTCTCACAGCAGGAAGATAGAAAGTATATTCTATAAAATGGCCCCTGGGAAGCAGCAGTTGTAGAGTAGCTTGCTTAGTCTTGGATTTGTTTTCTAGCACTGAAAAGAACATTTTCATTTGCTCCAGTTTTTCCTTTTAGAGGTCAGAAGGTGCTCTGTTAATTCTGGAGGCTACAAAACCTAGAGTAACAAGTGTTTCCACCCTGGGAATAACCACTTGCTAACTTTTACTTGAATCTCTTTCCAGCTTCTATCCCTAATTGAAAGTTCTCATACTACAACCCCTCCAAAAACTCATCTTACTAGTTTTTCATATCTCTTCCAAATGTACTTCAGAATGATTGGTAAGGCATCCTTGCACATTTTTGTAGATTTATACTGTTTCTGTATATATTGTATAGACAGTTCATATTTGTGAATTTTTATTGTAGCACAATTAATAAAAACCCAGAGACAGATATTGGGGTTTAACCTGAAGGTCAGAAAAGCAAAACAGCCAGCCACTAACTCTTATCTCTACCTCAGTACAAAATGGTGATCCTGCCTCCAGGAATTCTCAAAATGAGACTGACCAAGAGCTGTCTCCTCCCATCTTATATACCTCTTTAGTGCTGGGATTAAAGACATGCACCAGTACCACCTACCTGTTTCTATGCCAAACTAGTGTGGCTTCTGGGATTAAAGGTGTGTGTCACCACTGCCTGGTCTGTAAGGCTGACCAGGGTGACTGTTTTATTCTCTGATCTTCAAGCAAGCTTTATTTATTAAAATACAAACAAAAATCACTATACCCTTCCCCTCGGAAGAGGAGTCGGAAAGAAAGCTAGACCAGAGGGGATGGAGGACACCAAGGAAACAAGGCCTTGTAGACAACAGGCCAATGCACATATGAGCTCAGAGACTATGGCAGCCTGCACAGGGGCTGCATGGGTCTGCACCAAGTAGGCTCCTAGAGTTGAAAGGAGAAGTGGACACGTCTCCATCCCTAACCCAGAAGCTAACTCTGATTGATAACCATTTGCAAATAAAAAGTTAGTTTTTTCCAAGAGGGTTTGACTAGGGAAACACAGTACTCTTAAGGGTAGGCCCTATGTTCAGCAGTGGACGACCAACACGGAACAAAGTCAACAGTCAGGGACATTTTTTGGTTTTGTTAGTCTTCCTTACCTTGTAGGGCTCTCTTTATATATATCATGTGCTTCCAATTTTGAGTTTTTATGGGATTCCTGAGTGTGAACATGTGTGTCCTCTGCATCTCTATGTGTTTCTTATGCTTTTTCTTTGGCTCTTTTTCTTGTTTGGTTATATTCCAATTTGTTTTTTATTTATCTTATTTTATTATCATTCCTTAGATGCTTGTTATTGGTTTGTTTTTGGAGACAGGATTTCTCTGTATAGTCCTGGCTGTCCTGGAACTCGCTCTGTAAACCAGGCTGGTGCTGTGGGATAATGCTCTTGTACACTGCAAAGATTTGTCACTTGTATTGGTTTAATAAAACACTGTTTGGCCAGTAGCCAGGCAGGAAGTATAGGTGGAACAACCAAACTAGGAGAATTCCGGGAAGAGGAAAGGCAGAGACAGAGTTGTCAACCAAATGTAGAGGAAGCAAGATGAGAATGCCTTACAGAGAAAAGGTACCAAGCCATGTACTAAACATAGATAAGAATTATGAGTTAAGTTATAAGAACTAGTTAATAATAAGCCTGAGCTAATAGGCCAAACAGTTTATAATTAATACAAGCCTCTGTGTGTTTCTTTGGGACTGAACAGCTGCAGGGCTGGGCAGAACAGAAACTTCTGTCTACAGACTGGCCTTGAACTCATAGAGATCTGCCTCCAGAGTGCTGGGACTAAATTTGTACACCACCACCGGCTAGATGCTTGTTTTTTTAAGGAGACAGAGTGTGGTCTGGATGGGAGAGGAGGTGAGAAAGAGCTGGAAGGGGAGGGGAACATAATCAGAATACATTGTTTGAAAAAACCCTTTTTGATAGAAAACAAAAAAGCTCTCCTCCTTAAGTTGCCTTTGGTCATGGTATTTTATCACAGCAACAAAAGTAATATAGTTACTCAGATCTGGAAACACCCTTACACACACACACACACACACACACACACAGATGCCTTTCACAGGTCCAGGTATCTTCCTGTTTTCATTTTTATTTTATGTGTGTATGTACTCATTCCTCAGGAGGAGGCGGTGGTGGCTGTGGCAGTGGCTGTGGCTGTGATGACAAGGATGAAAACAGCCTTGGTGTTAGCAGCATCTCTAAGTACAGTCAACATCCAAGACCAACAACCATCACATGCAGGGTGGCACCAAAAGAGATTATATGTGTGCATGCCGTTTTATAGCTAAGAAGCTCTTATCATAGCACAGATAAGCAGTTTTCATAAATTTGGGATTATACCATAAATGAGGTAGATAGCCCCAGTCCTCTGTAGAGCAAAGCATCCATCTCATGAAAGCCTCCAGGTAGGCAGTGAGCTGAGTGGGAAGTGGTCTTATTGTTTAGAATACCCACTTATGATCAGGTTAGGTTACCGGGATTAGGTCATTTTGTGTGAAGTCTTAATCTGTGTGGCACATGCAGGCAATGCTAGTTGCCAGGCAGCTATAATACATGCAGTCAGTTCTCTGTTGGGCAGACAAGGAAAGGAAGACATAAATGAATTGGTTAGAAGGAAGAGGACTTAGTTCTTCTCATACTAGCACCCATCTTTGATTCCTTCTAACCTGTCCCAACATAGCCAGGCCACCGAGGTTTTAAAGATACAATTTAGAAATAGGGAACCTTCATTTCTGAAAACAGGATAGAAACACTTTGATCTTAAGCAGTAAGCACCTGGGAATTTTATATCAAAAGAAAAGTAGAAGCAGTCAATTTTGTGAATTAAACAGGCACTCTTCTAGAATCTGAGTGTATTCTGGATGCTGTAAGAACATCCATTTCACTTATCTCAGCCTCAAGTGCTCCTCTTCTATTCTGATCTAGAAGCAGAGTAGGGAGGCTACAAACCACCTACCTTCCTTGCTCCACTACCAACGGAAAGAACAACAGAGAGAAAAGGTGGGAGAAGTCAGGTGTGATATACACACCTGTGATCCCCGCCCCTAGGACGTGCAGGCAAGAGAGGATCTGGAGCTTAACATCATCCTTGGCTACAAAGAGAAGTTGAAGTCAGTCTGGGATACAAAATACACATCGGAAGTGTGACAGCATGATGCTGAATGCGAATGTTCTGTCCGATCCTCAGCTGCAGCATCAGGAGGGTTAATTTCCTGTGTCCTCTGGACCACAGATTTTGGTCAGACGGCATTCTGAGTGTGCTTGTGAAGGTAGTTTTAGAGATTAACACTTGAATGGGTAATTCAGTAAGTACACTGCCCGCCCCCACCCCGCCCCAGCTCTCATCCAATCAGGTAAAGGCCTGAGAGAGAACAGAAAGCTGACTCTCCCTAGAAAAGTGATAGCATTTCTGCCAAAACCTTGTGCAGGACATTGGCTTCCTTAGTCCTTGGATGCAAACTGAACATTGTTCTTTTAGTCTGGAGCCATGCTGCTTTTGAACTGAAACTCACACCGTTGGTCTCCAGATTACAGAAAGCAGTGTCCGTCATCAAATAGCCCAATTCCTCAACAATATGCCCCCTCCAACACACACATACATTGTATTGATTTTCTGCAGGATCATACATAATACACATTTAGAAAGTTTAGAAACCACACCATGTATTTTTACATTTAAGCACTAACACAATAAAAATGTGGTTTATTATTATTTATCATTTATTTTTAGATTTAAATATTATTAAATGTTAACTTATTAAATTAATTAAAATAAAACTAAGCATTAAAATTCATTATTTTTAAATATGATTTATTATTGAAATGCAAACCACTTACATTAGGATTTGTCAAACACGTGTCTGTAGGTTTCTGAAAACCTTGATGTACCAAACATTGGAAACTCATAAACACAGATACCTACATAAGTCTGTGAGGGGGTTAGATTCCGAGCTTTAAAGAAATGCATTTAGTGAGAGAATATAACACATAAGCAAAATCATTGTGAAATCAAACTAAAAAAGTTTGCTATCTCCAAACTTCAGAATCTCCACATTACTACTATAACTATGGAAGATTGCTGATGCTAGAAACCAATGGAGAAATATGGCGAGATACAGTTATGGGAGTATTTCTCCTAAGAAGTGACAGACCAGTGAGTCTCAATCTGTGGGGCATTACCCCCTTGGGGGATTACATATCAGATACCTTGCATATCAGATATTTACAATTCATAACAGTAACAAAATTATGGCTATTATGTAGCAACACAGAAATTTTATGGTTGGGATCACAACATGAGTAACTGTATTAAAGGGTCGCAGCATCAGGAAGGCTGAAAACCACTGTGGATAGACTAACAAAAGTTTGCAAGAAAGCAGGTATTCTAAGACCTTTGTAGAAGCAGCTCCATTGGAAGTATGTGTAATAAATACTTTCACAGTGCTGACTTCAATTGATAAGTGTGAAATTTTCACCATGATTGAAAACAAAATAAGCAAATGAACAAATCAACCAGCCAACCAGATGCTGCTCTGCAGAGTCCAAGGCGAGCACTGAGGGCGAACATAAAGTACTTGCCTGCGCAGTTCAGCAGCGTCGGGTATGCGTGATTTGGAGTCAACACGTAAGAAAGCAAAGACTGTTGCACTGGCGCTCTGAACCCCCAAACAAGCAATCCCTATTTTCAATAGTTAGTGTGAATTCCCTGGCTTGCTCAGGTATGGACTTAGCAGGGGTAGGTTCTGTGCAGTTTATTATCCATATGTTGTAGGTGAATGATCTTCGAGAAAAGTAGAACAGCAGCTACCAGGTTCCTGAAACTTCCTATAAAAAGATGTTTAGATTTATTTGTGGGTGTTTTGCTCATATGCATGTCTGTGTACCAAGTGTGCTCAGTGGTCAGAAGAGGGTGCTGGATTCCCTGGAACTGGGTTATGGATAGTTTCAGTACACCGTGTGGGTACTGAGTATTCAACCTAGATCTTCTGCAACAACAAGTGCTCTACTGAAATACTTCTTTTTGTTGTTGTTGTTATTGTTTGTTTTTTGAGGCAGGGTTTCTCTGTGTAGCCCTAATTTTCCTAGAACTTGCTTTGTAGATCAGGCTACCCTAGATGCTGGGATTAAGCCCGGCTACTGAAATACTCTAGAGTGTTCACATAGTTCCCCAGCACTACTGTAGAGACAGGTAAACATTTGATGTTAGTTCTTTTTAGGAAGCTGGCCATACAAGGACATAGCAAACTAGCAGCGTCACTGCCTACATGGTGTTGCCTGTGAGATCCCTCTCCCTGGGGTAAACACTGGAACAGAGCACATGAAGAGAGCACGTGCTGTCTATCCAGCAGTGCGCTCCCGTGAACTCTTGTTCACACACACAGGATCTTGTGAGTAACCTGCTCGCTACACGTGCTTATGGACTGTCCCCAGCTCTGAGGGGTTTTGTTTGTTTTTATCTCTTGGTATCATAACTCCACTGCTTTAGTACAATGAGCCTGTGGTTAGGACATAAGGAGAGGAGGCAGGAGCTCCTGGTTAGGCCCAAGACAACCACCAAAGTGAGAATCAAGAGGCTAATCCTTAGACATTGATCACTTTATTCTGGAACTGGTTTTCACACTACATGAGTAGGAAAGGGTTTTTTTTTTTTCTTTCTCCCAAGAGTAACAAAATTAACAGAAAAAAAATATTACTGGAATTCTATGGGTGGCACATTCACAATGACTTAATGCTAAAGAAGCTGTTTAAGGCACTCTCACAGAATTCCTAAATTAGGTAAAGAATTAAAGGGTTCTAGCATAGTAACCTCACCCTCACCCCTCCCCTGCCAAGTCAGGGAACTTGGCAAAAAACAAAAGCAAAAATAAAAACAAGGCAGTACTACATTGACTCAATCTAAAACATCCTGTTGTTTGTTTTTTAAGATATACAAATGGCCTTGGTGAAATTTTCCAGACAATAATGGGTTTTCAGAGCTATGCAGGAAACCTCCCCAGTATATTTAATAAGTCTCTATGAGTTAGCACCTGTATACAAGGCACAAAGCAGGACATATGATTTCCAAGTCTGACCACTTGTGAAGGGCCCATTAGCCTAACAAAGTGTCAGAGTAACACCCCCAAAGCATAAGTGTCCCTCAGGAGACCTGAGATGCAGGCCAAGGGAAGGCAATTTGCCAGTCAGGAAGCCCATTTGATTCTAATGGGTGAGAACTCTTACAGACAACTCTTTCTCATAACCTCCTATGCAGTAAGTTTTTTGTTTCCCTCTGGTTACCTTCTAGCATGTAGAAGATAATGAGTCTCAGCCAGATCCCTAATATCTAAGGATGTGCATTATTAGATAGAGCCCCCAGCTATGACTTCTGCAGTCATAAGGGCTCAAGGGTGACTTCAGTTCAATGACAGTTGAACACCAACTTCGGAATGTACGGCGGGGGTCACTGTGACAGGTTTCTTCCCTGTGTGTCTTCTCTGATGTTGAATAAGGTATGAAGGTCGGGTGAAGCCTTTTCCACATGTTTTGCACTCAAAGGGTTTTTCACCAGTGTGTACTTTTTGGTGTTCAATAAGGCTTGTAATCCTACTGAAACTTCTCGCACAATCATTGCATTGATAAGACACAGGAGTTTCAATATTTTCCCAATGGCTTTCCACCCTACTATGACTTTCCCAGTAAGGTTCTGGAACAAAAAAATCTTTATCCCCAGTATGGGTCCTCTGGTGTCTCAGGAGATGTGAGCTACGCCTAAAGGCTTTGGGACACATATTGCACTGGTATGGCTTCTCCCCAGTGTGAATTCTGTGATGCTCAAGGAGGCTGCAGCTCTGGGTGAAGGTCTTCCCACAGTCATCACACTCGTAGGGCTTTTCCCCAGTGTGGGTTCGCTGGTGCTTGATGAGATCTGAGCTGTGACTGAAGGCCTTGCCGCATTCTTCACACTCATATGGCTTCTCCCCAGTGTGCACCCGCTGGTGAATGATGAGAGCTGAGCTCCCAATGAAGGCTTTGCCACACTCCTCACATTCATAGGGTTTCAATCCAGTGTGGATTCTTTTGTGTTTACTTAAGCCTGAACTCTGAGCAAAACTCTTTCCACATTCACGGCAATAGAACCGCCTATTTCCAGTGGCAGTTTTCTGTGTTGTCTGTAACTTGCCTTCCTGCTCACTGGCTTCTGTACCTGCAGGAATCTGGACAGTGTCTTCACCCAAGTAGCACAGTGTCTGCTCAGGCTTTTGTTCTGTGTACTCCTCAGCTGGAGGTAAGTCCCTAATCTTAGTCTGCATGTCCTGATCTGAAACACAAATGCCAACAACTGTTAAGTACGTTTTGTATTGGAGCACTATGATGAATAGCATGGAGAGAATTACAAAGGTCAAACATTTAAATGTAGAAATTCGGATGGGACAAAAAGGAGGACACAGAGAAGCTAGGGAGACCTAGAGACAGGAATGGGGCTGTTAATAGACGGGTACAACTGAGAATGGAGGGAGTGGAGGAAACCAGTGAGAACCGACGACTCCCTCTAAGTTGTAATACTAGAAAGGCGGCACAGACATACACCTAAGGTTAGTACTGCACTTTCTCTGCTGGGGAGGAGTGGAGCTGAGCAAGCCTTTGGAGACCAGAAAATCATTAGTGAGTCATAGATCTTGGATACTGAACTACAAGGTGTAAAGCTATACTCTGGACTTCGGGTTTGCTTAAGTGTGATGGTTTTTATGCCCCAGTTCTTCCCTTTTGGAGTAAAGAATCTTTAACTTGTTCTTAATTTTACAGGAACCAACAGTTAAAGAGACTGGATATTTTAAAAAAGATTCTGCATTCTAAAGTGTTGAGATTTTTAAAAAGGCTATGAGATTTTAAAAAGTTATACTGCTTTATATTGGGATAAAATCTTGGGGACAAAAAAGGAAAGGTTGCTTTAATAGTGGTGCATTTTTATGTCAGGTTGACAAGGGTCAACTAATTTGTGCTGGTTACTTTCTGTCAACCTGACACAAACCAGAGTCACTCCTGAAAAGGGTATCTCAGTTGAGTAACCACCTCCATCAGACTGCTCTGTAGACAAGTCTGTGTGGCATTTTCTTGTTTGATCACTGATGTGGTGGATGTCCACCACACTGTGGGGATGCCATCCCTGGACAGGTAGTTCTGATTATACCAGAAAGTAATAGAGTAAGCCAGTTTGCAGATTTTGTCAATGGTCTCTGCTTTAGTCCCTGCCCTCAGATTCCTGTTTGAGTTCCTGCTCTAATTTCCCTCAATGGAGTCATGAAAATAAACCCTCGAGCCCTGCAAGGAGTCATAATATGTAAATCATATGGTATTTATTATTGCAGGAGAAAACAAACTAGAACAGATGTGAGAAAGACTGAGTACAGGAAGTAACAGAAAACAGGGCAAGTGTTCACATTTGCTCACGGTAAAGAGAAAGGCAGTTATGCGGAACTGTGCCGTGGCAGTGGTGGGCATACCAGAATAGAGCATCAGCTCTCTGAGACAAACTGGAGCCACTACCCTGCCACCAATGAGTTGTGTGACTTCTGACAAGTCTGACAACCCTATGTCCTTGCCTCTAGGTGTGTGTGTGTGTGTGTGTGTGTGTGTGTGTGTGTATGCATGTATATGTGTATATACACACACCTATAGCTGATATATAATGTTGCTTCATTCTCACACTCTGACTCCATGACGCATTTCTTGTGGAGAAGCTTCTCAGCTTTTTCACTAGTCATGGATGGGAATAGGAAGGGAAAGGGAAGATTTTTTTTTTCCAGTTCATTCAAGCCACGATCTCATACATGCTAGGCAAGTGTTCTACCTCTGAGATGCACAGGCCCAGCACTCAGTCTTTACCCAGAATCTCCTCTGAGCCAGCACAGCATTAGGGGCAGGATCTACTTTATCCCACCCATCTTGACTAGATACCCAGGGAGTGTGCTACTGTTTTCGTCAACTTGACACAAATCTGGGTATATTGGGGAAAAATCTTAATTGAGATAATCCCTCTATAAGACTGGCCTGTAGGTGAGTCTGTGGGGACATTTTCTTGATTAATTATAAATGTGGGAAGGCCTAGCTCCTTATGACAGTGCCATCTCTGACATGATGTCATGGAGTATATAGTAAAACAGGCTAAATTAGCTGGGAAAAGCAAGCCAGTAAGCAGTACCCTACCATGGCTTCTGTTTCTACCTCAAGGTTTCTGATTTGAGTTTTTGTCATGACTCTGATATTGAACTCTAATGTGGAACTGTACACTGAAATAAACCCTTTCTTCCCCAAGTTGCTTTTACTCATAGTGTTTTGTGACGAAAATAGAAATCCTCTGCGACAGAGGATAAAGAATCAAGATTACAAGCATTAAGGAGCTAGTCAATAATAGGCTTTCAAAGCGTGTTTATAATTTCAAACATAATGAACTTAATAGCTTCTAACAGCCCAACAGGGGAAGGAGGTTCTATTACAGAAAAGATAGCAAGAAGTCCGAGAAGAAATTAGCATCTTACAGTCTTACCCAGGGAAACCAGGCTGCCAGGGTTTTCCTGTATGTCGTCTTTGTAGAGGTTCATCTGAGATGAATCCTGTTCTGTCCATCTGGGAGAAAGGGCTGGAGCTACATCTTCCATTTTTAGCAACCCCTAAAAAAAATAAAAGTCCATCAAAGAGATGGAACAGGGAATATCTGGGTTGCAAGTTCACAGGCTTGAGCATTCCACCTCCAAATGGCAAAGTCTGAAGCACACTAATGGGAAGTTGAACAGTACGAAGACCTTGGGATGAAAAAGGAAATGCAGACTCCAACTAAGAATGGGGTGGAGAATGGAGGCCAGGGTAGGGATGGATGGAAAGGGGGTACACTAGTAAAGGATGTTGAAGAGGGGGACAACTCTAGCTCACCTGTAACTCGGAAGTGAGCCTGGGAGCTGCCACTCCATCTTCTCCACAGTGGACCCCCTGGGTGACTACAACAGAAAGCTCTGGGTGAGACTCCCACGAGTACCCAGTACCCTCAAATTGTGGAACCCAGGTTTAAAAGCTTGACCAATAAATTTTTGCAAATACATGTTTATAAAATATTTTCTTTTCCAAAATACCTGATTGCTACCAGAGCCAAAGATATTCTGTGAAGATACACAAAAGCTCTTGGAAAGCCAGAGTATGGGTCATTGGGAAAGCACTTGATTAGCATGTGTGAAGTCCTGGATTTCATCACATGTACTACCACAAGAAGGAAAATGACATAAAACACTAACCTCTGACTTCTGAGGGCAGGGATCCCAAAGACTCCTGCTTAAGCAGAGGCTCCATGGGCTCCATCTGGCTACTCTCTGAGCCCTGAGCTGATGTCAACAGTACTGCCTTGGAACAAAGGATTTCCTGCCCATCGTCATCATCTGGAACCTAGAAGTCATTCATTTATTTTTATTTTCCATATATTTATTAGACATTCCCAAAGTAACTTCAGTTTGACACTGTCTCCAAACTCTACAAATATGTACTTATTTAATACAGACGACTTCATGAGGGCACAGCTTACTCAAAATCACTCTACTAAATGACAAAGCTAAGAGGGGAGACCAGGCAAATGTTTCCACAGTTCATTCAATGCTTCCTATATATGTAGATTTATGAACTCACTTAGGAAAACGGTGATATAAACCCAATAATGCTAATTTCTTAGAAGAAACCTGAGGACACTATTTTTAGTTTAGTCTATAGAATGGGTGAAACCAGAAAGCCGACAGTATATGAAGCCACCCAGTAGGGCGTGGCACGTGCTATCTGAAGCAGATTTGCTTCAGATCATTGTTACAGTTTCCAAGTCCTGCTGTCTCCCACTGCTCAGCATCCCCACACCTTTCAGACTGAAGCTCAGCAGCTGTGGTGACTTCACTGTTAGAAAACTCAGGCAGTAACTCCAAGTCCAGACCTTTGACTTTGGTCACTGCTTAGAAAGTCATGTCTCCTGAATAAAAACACTAGGGAATGTAGAGAGGAAACTGTCTCCTATAATAGGCCAGAAGATGGAAGCTAAAAGCAGCTCATTTTCTGCCAGAGGGGTCCACAAGGGGTCCATAAATTTGGATAGCAAAAACCTTTTAGATTCTAAGAAAATTGTGGAATTTCCCTCTATTGTCAATGAGAACAACAAAGCAAGGTGGCTAAGTACGACAGCACTGAAGATGTCGTCACATGACAAGCCAAGAAAACTTATCAAGTCGCTTGTGCCCACTGCCCCTGTGCTCAAGCCTGTCCTCGGGTCTTACTCAGCACACCAGTTAGTTCACATCTAACCTTTCACCACTCTGCTCCACACAGTCTACCCGCGCTGCGCTAGCTTTGAGTTCTCCCCAATCCTTGTACTTTCCTTTGCGCTTTTAACTATTCTGAGGGGTGCAGGCCACTTCGCTGTTGCCTCAGGTTCCCAGTTCAGACTGAGACTTCGCAGGCTCTAAGCAATGCCTCCCTTGGATCTTGCTCGAGGTTTCTGGAAGGCACAGGGCATAGGTCTCAGACCCTAAACCTGTTCCTTCTACCTGTGGAGGCGTCTCGTCCAGCTGCCTCTCCAAGTACTCCAACAGCGCCACCACCTCCTCCCCGCTGTCGGGGTGCTGCTCGCGCACCCAGGCCTGTAGCTCCCCTGGCAGGATGGTCAGGAACTGCTCCAGCACCAGCAGCTCCAGAATTTGCTCTTTGCTGTGCATATCTGGCCGCAGCCACTGTCTGCAGAGCTCTCGGAGCCGGCTCAGCGCCTGCCGGGGTCCAGCAGCCTCTGGGTAGCGGAAAGCGCGGAAGCGCTGGCGGGAGCGGTCTGGCCCAGGGCTGCCCAGCCAACTGGCCTCCTCTGCCAAGGGCGAGGCCTCTTCCTGTTCCACCTTTATGACCAGCAACTCCATCTGGTCCTCTGCAGAGTGTGAGTCCAGGGCTGTGCTTTCCCTTGATTCTCTAGCCATCCCGAGCCAAGTAGTTCTCCTGTTTCACTGCAGCTGTGAGCTGTATTTCTGCAAGAGACTACTGAGAGGTGGAGAGGACTATGAGCCACTGGGAGTTGCAAATGCTCCCCTCCTTCTATGCCCAGGACCCCGGGGAACCTGCCAAAGAGCAGCTGGGGAGATACCCATGTTCAAATACCTCTGTAGGTTTCCATTTGGGGGGACTTAGAATCAACTAGGTTTGTCTGAAGAGGTTAAACATAGGTCAGAAGATCCACGTGACTGCGGGTGGCATCATGCCACGTGCTCCGGCCTCACACAGAAAGGAGCCAACATGTGGAACAGCAATATTTGTCTGCTTCCTCACTACAGACAGATGAGTAGCTGCCTCCTTGTTGGACTATACCCTCAAACTGTCAAAGGAAACCCTTCCTCAGCTTGCTTCTGTCGGGTAGTTTGTCACAGCAATAAGGAAGTACCTAACTTAACTAGACCTGAGAAGAGGAGCCGCTGCTGTGATAAACTTGACCACGTGTTTCTTACCCAAGCGCTAAATGGACATAACTAAAGTTTAATAGGCCATTCTGGTGAGAGTGTGGAATTCCAGAATGCCAGGAACGTGAGCAGTGGAAGCCTAGCTGACGGAGTTTCGGAGTGGAATACAGACCCTTTCAGGAACAGGAATGCAATCTCTTAATGTTTACATCCTGACAAAGAATCTGGCTGTATTCAGTCCATACCATAAGACTGAAATAAAAAATTAGCAGACTAATTTATTTGGCAGAAGAAATTCCAACCAGGATAGCATGCAGGCTATGGCATGACTAGTGCTCACTTATTCAAGTCAGTAAGTAGAGAAACCAAAAATATATGAAACTGTGGTTTGTTCAGGAAAGGCGAGTGTCCAGTGTAATGAAACAATGAGGGTGCAGGCAGATAAAGCTTCTGTAGCTATTACACTAGCATTGTGAAAGATAAATCTTGTGTTCTACATCTGGGAAATAGGAAAAGCTCTCTGAAGGCAAGACCCCACACATCCATTCAAAACCCTAACTTGTAAAATTCATGTAAAAGGGAGAAGCGAAGCTGAAAACATCACCACAAGAGTTTACTGATTCAAAATGGCAGCCTATGGAAGCATGTGCCCTGAGTCAGCCTCAAAGGTAGGCAGATACCACTATAACAGTAGTATAAAGGAATCAAGCTACATTTCAAACAAGCAATACTTGAAAGAATCATCCAAGTAGTAATGGCTTTGGAAGCATGAAAGACATAAAAGTAATCAAGGAGACTTGCACAATTCCAGAAAGACCCTCCAACTAGGCTGTGTGGTGGGGTCAGATTCCCCATAAGAAGGTCATTGCATGAAGCTGGAAATATAAAACCTACATTGCAATGGAGATTCCAAAATATAAAAGATGCTAGGATCATGGGACATCCGCTGAGGAAAGCCAAGGCACAGAGTGGAGCTGGAACGAGAGGTCATGTGCTGTAGACAACAGAGCTGGGGAGGTAGAGCTGTCCAGAGCTGTTAAGCCCAGATGACTGCATCATGAGCCTGAGGCATGCAGGATTTGATATTTTCCTCCTAGTCTTGCTTTAGTCCAATCTTGCCCTGCTATGTTCCCGTTCCTCATGTTTGGAATAGGAATATTTACTTTGAGCCCATGTACATAAGAAGTACATTACTTATATTATTTTACAGGAACTCACAGTTAAAGAGACTGCCTGAGTTTCAGAAAAAAAAAAAAACTCTGCGCTTACATTCTGAATAGTGTTGGAACTGTTAAATACTATATGGATAGTTAGAAATAGACTAAAACACATTTTACATTATGAGATGAATGTAACTGTGGGGGCCAGGGTTAATATGTTCTGATTTAAGTGATGCATTTAATTATGACAAGTTAATCTTGTTAAGGTGATAGGGTTTAGGATCACTTATGAAACTCTGAGGGCATTTGTAGTGAGCTTTAACTGAAGTAAGAAGACCTACTGTGTATATAGGCAGTACCATTCCATGGGCTAAGATCCTAGACTGAATAAAAAGTAGAAAGTAGAGCACTGACATCCATCTCTCTCTCTCTGCTTCCTGATGACAGAATGTGACCCACCACACCAACCTTCAACTCTGATTTCCCCTCTATGGTAGACAGTATCTTCAAATAAACCCTTCTTTAAGTTATATTGCTAGGTATTTTGCTAGAGTAATTAGGAAATCTGAACCTTACAATAAGTTCTCCAAAGAATGTTCTGGAAATGGGTCTGACACCTCATATCCCTGGAGAGAGAAATTGAGAGTAGGGCAGCCAAGTTTCAGTGGACCTGTAATTCTAGCAGTGGGAATGTACAGAACAGAGTATCCCTAGATTGGATGGCCAACTCTTGCCCAACTGGTGAGCTTTAGGTTTAGTGAGAGACCTGTCTCAGAAACATAAATAGATAAAGATAAAGGTGGAGAGCAATAGAGGAAGACATTCAATACTGATCTCTGGCTTCCATGTGCACATGTGTGCATGTACTAGTATGTACAAGCACACAAACATTTGAACACAAACATACCACACACACACTGTAGACTTCAAAACTAGAAAATGTGCTGATTCATCTCCATGTTCTAAGCTTACAGGAAACTTAGAAACCAGAGGAGGTTAAGGAGGTAAGGACACAGGCTGCCCCCGTAGCATACCAGCAGGCGTGGCTGTTTCCCAGGGTTGAACAACAGATAGCAGATGGATGGGCAGATGTGCCGAAGAGCTGCGACACATGCAGATTGAGCAAAGGGAGGCACCCCTGCTTTTCCTTCACTGTGTAATCTCACATCTCTGTTAAATAGGCATTAATGGCTGTCCAATGGGCTTCTCAAGGGAGATGAAGTTGGCATAAACCATGTCAAAGAAGACTGGGTGAGTACCCCACCTGAGTTAGAATATGAGCACTAGAATAAGACAACATTTATGGAGGCCCTTCCTCTGCCCACTATCAGACCTTGGAAATGTCACTTGTTAACCAGTCAGTGCCTCAGGTTCTTTTTCACAGCTTCTCAGAAACTGTGAGACCTGGGATTCCTAAAAGGGATGGAAGATCTGATTCCTCTGACTAGAAGGAATGGGAGGGACTAGGCAAGAACTGCCTGAAAGTTCAGTGAGTACTGTCAGAGCGCTCTTCTTCACCCGCTGGAGGAAGACCAGAGTGAGGAAGACTGGGGGAGCAGCTAAGGCAAGGAATTTCCAAGTCTGTGCCCATTTCAAGTCCTACCTCTCACTTCAGTTTCCTACAGTTCAGGGACAGCACAGATGACAGATGGAGCTAAGGAACCTTGACTTAATTGTGCTTTTTCTTTTGGTTTTATAAGACAGGGTCTCACTCCAGTTCAGGATGGCCCTGGGTTTACCAAGTAGGCCATGGTGTCCTTGAACTCAGGGCAATCTTCCTGACTCAACTTGCCAAGAGCTGAGATTACTGGTGTGAACCATCACATCTGGATGAACATCACATCAACTGTTAGAAAAAACAAACCAAACCAAAAAAAAAAAAAAAAAGAAAAGAAAAAAACCCAAAAACCAAAAATCTTCCTCATAATTAGCTGTCACAAGAGATCTGGGATACTCTAACTTTTTCTCAAGTAAACCTAATTTAATCATACTTTAGATCCAAGAACTCAAGTCCAGGTAAAAACACAAGAGCAAATTAAAATTATTAAGGCTTTGCTACACAACAGACTCACTGGAAAGCTTTTAAAGCCTATGATAGTTGGGCAGATAAGGTCAACTGAACCAGCTTCTGGGGGTGAACTATAGGCCTCAGTATTTGAGAACTTACTGTGTGATCCAATGTACAGCCAAGGGTGAGAACTAAGAAGCTAAAGAGATGAGATTTTTTTTTAAGTATCAGTAGAATAAAGCAATTGATGTGACGATATTAAAAACCCTTTTCCCATAAATAGTATTTTAAAGAGGAAGCAAAGGGAAGGCAGACTAGCATAGATTAGATGAGACAGGAATTCAGTACAAACTACGTAGTTTAAACAATATCCGCAAACTGTAAAAAGATATTTGTGGGTCAATCAGGAAAACATGAACACAGTGTTAAGGAAATGCTGTCAATTCTGTTTATTGTGACAGTGTGGCTAAATTAAAGTTCCTATCTTAGTACGGACATACTTGCAGATGGCTATGATGTCTTGACCTCCAGTCTGCTGTAAAATGAATGAAAGGAAGATGAGAGGGAGAGGAGAAAAAGGAAAAGGGAGGCAGGGAAGGGCAGATGGCAAGAGGAGGAAAGTGAAGGAAACGGGAAAGCCAGGAAAAACGCGAATGAAATGAAATTAAGTAAAACTGCTGAATGATGGGCTGACTGCTGCAGTCAAGTTGAAATGTTTTGCCGACTGACATTTAAACCTTTTTCAATATAATACTACACATTAAACAAAATCCTATCTTTTCTTTCCTAAATACAGTCCAAAACATTTTGTTGGGGTCAAGGGAGGTAAGAGTAAACCCGATATCGAAAGGGTGTTGGGAGAGGCTGTAGGGAGAAAAAGGAACACTGATATATTCCTAAAAATCATTTTCAGTCACTCACGTTTCATCGCCTGTCCTTTCTGAAGTCTCAGCCCAACTGGGCAGAGTTCAAAGGTACAGGATCATGACTGTTTACAAAGTGGGAGAGTTTGCCAAATAAGTAAACCAAAGACAAGGTTTTTAGTTTTTTTTGTTAAGTTACAAATAGAGAAAAGAATGCTACAGGGATCCCTGTAGGTTCCAAGAATGTTAAAAACCCCAAATTCTCCAAGAAAAAGAGGCAGATAAAAGAATTATAAAAGATTGCAAGAGACATCGATTCAATGGCAATGGTAAACGATATATGGTCAACATTAGCCTTAAAAACCTGCAACAAGAATGAAGTGTTAGTACGACTCAGTTTCAAATCTATCTCTCTAATCTGTCACCAATCTATCTAACTATCAGTCATATCGATCATCCATCCATGGGATCCTTAAGCAGGTGAGGATTCTTGCTGAGGGCCAGAAAGCTGACAGGTCGCAAAACAGGAATGTCAGCTTACACCAGGGTCCTTAGTCTCTTCACTGTTAGATACCTCCTGCTGCTCCTTCTGTTTCTCAAGCTCCTCCTCCCCCTAAAAAAATGGCATCCCCAAGACTGTAAAACTCTGTGAGTCTGAGCATCACAACACACTACACAAACCACTTCTCATCTTTCCTTTGGGATAGGCTCTTCTCCAGAATGTTTTATTTTCCTTCCTAAAATACAGAAATTACCCATTATAAAGAGAACTGGTAAATAGCACTAAAATTCAAAAGGCAATAGCCAGAACCAAGGCTAGTCACCGAGGCGAAAGTGCTGTCCTAGTTAGAAAGAGAGACAGCAATAATAAAAGCAATCTTTACACTGCCGATTACCCCGTGCCTGGTACTATTTTAAGCACCTTGCACAAATGAAGCCTTTTACTCCTCACAGCAATCCAGTAAGTTAGGCGATATCATTATTCCCTAAAATAGCAAAATATAGAAAGTTAAGGGACTGGGAGTAAGTCACAAAATAGCACAGGCCAAAATCCACCAGGCAACCCGACTCCAAAGTTCTGGCTCTTTTCCAGTACCCCAGAATAAAGACCTTGGAACTGACCTTGTCTCCAGGAAAAGCAAAACTGTGCCGTCTCTCATTTTCAAAGCTTAAGTACAAGACCCAAGAATCCCACCTCCAAATGCCCTGAGACTGACCAGACACCCGGAACCGGCCCGAGGCGAGGCGCCCGAGGCCCTGTTGGGCACTCGGCCCAAGTGGCCACCGAGGTTTTTTTCCGGCGCCGCTAGGCCGCAGGGGAAGTCGTTCTGTCCCACCCTCCCCGACCCACAAGCAGCCCTGGCCACTGGAGGACTGTAGCAAGACGTGACCCAAACCCACCCGCGATCGCAGCACCGCGCAGCACCCCGCAGTCACAAAAGTGTCCGAAAGTCCGACCCCGGGGGGCGGGGCACAGGGCACTTCCGGCCTCTCTAGGCAACAGCGACACTCTATGGTTCGCCTACTTCCCCCCCCTTCGTGGTTGCTTCGTGAAAAATATTTTTAAAAAGTATATATTTTTAACTGAAGTAGAATTACATCACTTTCTCTTCTCCCTTTCCTCCCTCCAGCTCTTCCCAAGAAACCCTTCCATACCCTCCCACTCTTAAGTTGATAGCCTCTTTTTATTACTGTTAAATTCGTATACGTACATATGTATGTGCATGCACAAATTATATATATTTATTTATTTATATTTGCAAACGCGCGCGCGCGCGCGCACACACACACACACACTCAACCTGCTAAGTCGGGTTTGTTGTTGAGGTTGTTATGTATATATGATTTCAAGGCTGACCACTTTGCATTGACAACCAATAAGACGGCTCATCCCTGGGGCAGACTAATTCTCCATTCCTCAGCAGTAAATAGTTGCCTGTGGTTCTTTGGTTAGGGGTGGCATCTAACCAAAGTTAACATGTTTATTGATGCTGCCATTGTTCCAGTCTTGTGTACGCAGCCAATTCTAGGTGGAACTGTCCTCCTCTTCCTCCATGTTCTCTGAGCCATAGATGCAGATGTAAATGTATCTGTTGATCTCTACATTGTGTCTAGCTGCAGTTTTCTGTGATGGTCTTCTCTATTCGTTGTAAAGGGAGGCTTCTTTGATGAGGGGTGGTAGCTACATTTATCTAGGAAAGATGGCTCTAGCACCAACAGACTTTCAAAACGTGATTTTCCCAAGGACAGCTACGGGAAGATAAGAAAATAACGAGTCTTTGTATAGCCTGACATCTCTGTGAGCAGAAAAAGGTAAAAAGAAAATTCTATTTTCTTGTGTCATTGCAAAGAAGTCCTAAGGAAATGTATTAGAAAATTATGCAAATGTTTAGAAACTGGATGAAAAAGAGAACTAAGGATGAGGGGAAAGTGTTTTCTTTTTAATTTATAACTAGTTGTATTTTCTGATTAAAATATTAATTATAAATACAACACATTTTAAATGAAAATTCTGAATGACTTTTACAGAAAATCCAAGATAATCTTCAAATTATAATTAAAAATTTCGGTTTAAGATTTTATTGAAAAAATTTGATGTTGATAATTACATTTTCATCACCAACCCAAATAAGAAAACATCACCATAAAAAGGCAACCATTACAGTAGCAAGAAAGTATAAAAGAGACCTAAATGGAAACATAAGGCTTTATTGATGGAGGATCAATAGTTGAGAGCCAGATATGTGGGTTTATGTCTATAATCCCAGCACATGGGAAACTGAGGAAGGAGACTCACTTTAAATTACAGCTTCACATTCAAGGCTAGTTTGGTCTACACTGGGAGTCCTGGATTACAGTGTGAGATCCATCCTCATAAAACAAAACAACCCTATTCGTGATCACACAAGCAACCGTAATTAAACTCAGTGGGTCACACACACAAAAGACATCAAAGTAGAAGAGACATGGGAAGAAGGGTTTCAGTGAGGAAGGGGGAGGGTGATGAGAGATGAAGATGATTAAAACTCAATGTAAGCATATGAAATTGTCGAATAATAATAGAATTTTAAACCATAAAAGTACATACCTATTGAAAGATACCCCTACAAATAACAAATATAAATAAATAAATAATAATAAAGATAATATACCGTATCATGTATTTGCTAATTCAACTGTATTAGGGTGTTATTTTTCCCTAGATTAATACAAATATTTAATGCAGAGTGCTTGTTTCAGCACCATAGCCTATAATTAGACAGATACCCAGATTATTATGGCACTGCACAGGATGACATGAAAATTCATAAAGCATTCCATACTCTTAAAAAATGACTCCAGAATAAATAGAAACCCTAACAGTGTGTATCCAATGGAACCTAATTGGTCTATTTTAAATTCTTACAGAATAATGAGACTCATGAATACGTAAGTAAATTTTTAAGCAAATGAAAGAAACATAAAACTGGCTTTGCCTGAAATAAAGACTGGCTTAAAATGCGAAAGAGTTTCAACAGTGTAATAGAGACACCACTAAAGACAAGGAGATCTGTGAAACTGAACTAAGCATGGGGAAACAAATATGTATGTATAGATGTTCAACACATGCCAAAAGCGGCAATCTAAGTTACTGCAGAAAGAAGTAGTTACTTGACAAATAGGTGACATTTAGGTAGCCATGTGAAGGAATAAAATATGATTGGGTTTCTACTTAACATGTCACAGATCAATTCCACTGTAAAGTAAAAAAAGAACTTTTATTTTTAATATATATATATATATATATATATATATATATATATAGGATTGCTTATTCATCAATTCTAGGCAGGATTTCTCTTAAACTGAATGTGGTGGCTTGAATGAGGTGACCTTCATAAACTCCTGCCTTTGAATACTTGGTGGCTGTTGGTGGAAAATTAGGAGGTTTGGCCTTCCAGGAGAGAGTATGTCACTGGGGCTGGGCTTTGAGTGTCAAAAGACTCCTGCCCTTTGAGTTAGCTCTCTCTGCTTCCTGTGAGTATTCGCCTGGGGCTCTGACACCTGCTGCCATGCTCCCCATGACAGTGATGGACTATTATCTTTCTAGAACTGTAAGCCCCAAATACACTTTCTCTTCTACAGGTTGCCTTGGTAATGGTGTCTATCATAGAAATTTAAAAGCAACTAAGACACTGAACAAAATACAAATTGAAGAAAAAAATCTTATCTCATTAGAAATTAGAACTATGTATATAGAAATAAAAATGGCAGAAGCTAGTAGAAATGACAGCTGAAGGACTTGGAGAGCTTATTTGTGACACACAGTATCAGGAAAAGAGCATTACACTGAATAGAAAATGAATATATCCAAATAAATAAAAAAATCATAGCCAATGGTAAAAATGGATAAGAGAATACATTCAGGCTATTCACGGAGGAAGAGGAAAATGTGATGGGGCCTGGAAAAATTAATTATTAATAAAATATTGTCCTGTTATTCCAGGTCCTTCTGACTATGATGTGATGCATAGGAGAGGAACTGTCTTAGTCACTTTTCTATTGCTGCATGGAAAGACCATGCCACAGCAACACTTACAAAAGAAAGAATTTAATTAGGGCTTGCCTACAGTTTCAGAGGTTTAGTCTGAAATTATCATCATTTGTGGGAAGCATGGTGGCATGCAGGCAGACATATTGTGGAAAAAGTAGCTGAGAGTTCTACATCCAGATCAGCAGGCAGCAGGAAGACAGAGACACTGGGATTGGCTTGGGCCTTTGAAACCTTAAAGCCCACCTCCAGCAACGCACTCCCTCCAACAAAGTCACACCTACTCCAGCAAGGCCACACCCCCTAATCCCTGTCAACCAGTGTCCCTCCCTGATGAAAGCATTCAAACCTATGAGCCTATGAGCCCATTTCTTACTCAAATCACAACAGGAACGCTGGGAAACAGAAATCAAAATTTTGTTCATCTTTTGCAAAAATGAATTTCTTATTCTCCTTCCCATAAAAGACAGAAGAATGCATTTGAAAATTCCACAACTAGTTATTATATACCTGAGGTCCTACTAGTCTGTTTTAGATAACACCCCATCTGGCATTTCAGCTTTGACTGGGGCAACTACTTTAATTTGCAGTTACCTATCATTCCCTAGGATCTGTCTGGCTTTGCGAGGATAGGCAACTGAGAAAAAGAGGGGATGAGGAGGACAACTGTGCATCTCCAATTAGCATTTCCATTGGTGAATATTCATTGTACAGGACCTTGGCTTGTTTAAGGACATTTCTCATACAACTATATAATGTACTTTGAGTATATACCTCCACAAGTCCCTTTATCCCCCACCTGTGTTTAGTATTGTTCTTCTAGACCAGTGATTTTCAGTCTTCCTAATGCTGTGGTGATCCTTAAATATCGTTCCTCATGTTGTGGTGATCCCACAATCATAAAGTTATTTTTATTTGCTACTTCCTAACTATAATTTTGCTACCATTATAAATATCCGTGTTTTCTGATGGTTTTAGGCAACCCTGTGAAAGGGTCATTCAACTCCTAAAGGGGTTGCAACCCATATGTTGAGAACCACTGCTCCAGAATTTTGCTTCTACTTTTGTGTCATAAGCATACACATGATTATAAGTGTCTATATGAAGTCTAAAAACTCCAAATGAAAGCATGCAATATTTGTCTTTCTGAAACTGAATTTGCTTAGTTGATTATCACCAATTATATCCATTTTCCTGTAAATGATAACTTTATTCTTTATGGCTGAAAATTCTGAAAAAATATATGTACACACACACACGCGTGCACACACACACACACACACACACACACATACACATATTAAAAACATAGTTCTGTTGAATAGATGTCCAGGTTGATTCCAGAACTTAGCTATTGTGAGTAGTGATGTAATAAACATTGATATGTAATTATCTCTGCTATAATGACCTGTCATTGGATAATACTCAGCAGTTGTATAACTGGGTCACATGGCACATCTGTGTATAACTTTCTGAAGAACCTCCATACTGATTTCCACAGTGGTGGACTAGTTCTCATTTCCTCCAGCAGTGATTAAGGGCTCTGTGTTTTCAGCATCCTCATCAGCGTTTTCTTCTTAATGTCATTCCGACTGGAGGAAAATGGAATCTCAATCTAGTTTTAATGTGTATTTTTCTGATGTCTAACAAGGTTGAGTTTTCATTTGTTTATTGGACATTTATACTTAAAGTTTTGAGAGCCATCTGTTGATTTCAC